TTAATATTGGTCGAAGCTGTTAAGATAGATTTGACCTCAGCAGTAAAGATCGAACTATTATCAGAGATTCGTGAGGAGAGAGCTCTGGATCAAGTGATGGTGGCACTTTTCCACCATCCTTGGACAAGTCTGTAAAAATGGATCTGTGAGAATTATTTTTTGTTCGTAATTCGTTATATGCTTGTTGATAAACCAAAGAATTTGCTTCAGACTCTTTAGGGTGGGTGAGAGTGAGGTCTGATTCCATGTGGTGGTATCAGGTTAGACACATTTCGAAACTGGTTTTCATACAGAGGGTTGAAAACACAATTGCTCGCCGGGTTTGACCGACTGGAATGCAATTTAGTGATGTATTGCAGTGATAAATTAATGCAGCATTGTTCGAGGGAAGGTTCATCAGCTTCCACATACAAACTGTCCACATGAGATGTCCTAAACCCTCAAAGACAGAGCCTTAGGCCTTCGTGGTCTGTTGTGTCTAATTTTGCAAAATTGCTTTTGCAGGCTCTACCATAGACAATGGAACCATAGTCTAGTTTAGAGCGCATTACCGTTCTGTTAAAGTGAAGGAGGCTTTTGTGATCTCCGCCCCACTCGGAATTTGAAACGACTTTTAGCAAGTCGAGAGCCTTCAGGCACTTTGCCTTTAGTATTCCTTACGATGTTCCAGTATAAGTATATACCCTTAGAATTGACAGGTGGTAACTATGGTAACGACAGAGAGATAAAAAACGCAGGTTGGGTTAGTATTATAATTTACTTCCTTGGTTACAGTTAATAGTTAATTATAAGTTGATATTTTTTTAACATTTGTTCATAAGATGAAAGAAATATTGGTGCAGAACCTAGCAATGAACATGAAAACCGTGATGCAATCGCGTTACTTTATACAACCCAAAAGGGACAATATATAAGGCGCCGATTTAGCTATTCATTCCTTATTTTATGATATCAGTAATTCATTTATTGATTCCAAAGAATGAATTTGATTTTGATTTTATGATGTCATGAAATATTTAAGATATCATTAAAAGAATTTATAATATCAAATAATGTATTTTATCATATAAACAATCAAATTTGTGATATTTGAAAAATCAAAAGTAGTTTTTGATATAACAAATTGTGAGAATTATATCTGCTTGAGTGTTTTGTCAATGGGTTCCAACGTATCGATAGACACACAATTATTTGCACGTCTCCTACTCAACTGGGTGCATTTTTGTTACCCAATCAATCTTTATTCATGGTACTGATGAGGCCAAAGGACTATAGTACATTGCCTGGGGCGTGTTACAAATTCATACATTTCTTAGTTCACAGCATGATAAATGATCACAGATAAATTTCTCATAGTTTCTGAAAAATCACATGTCATTGATTTACAAAATTTCTTTCCATTTGGGTTGTGGTAGAATAGTTAATACAATCAGTTTTACAAATCCTACTAAGTCTATGTTCCCTTGAAATACCGATATCTGCCTGTTTCGAGAGATCATGTCAGCTACATCAAGATCGAGAAAGAGCTGTTCTAAACTTTACACTTAATAGATAAGGTTCTAGCATTATAGTAGTCTTAAATGTAGTGTCGTAATTTGCTTTTGTAGAACTGGACTAGGAACCATGCCATTTGGGGATGTTCATATCTTTTAAGGCCTGTGACAAATGGCTGAAAGAAAATATAACCATGTGACCACATTCGGATATCATGTTTTTAACTTTGATGCCCAATTGTTTTTTTACCATGGCATCATATTATAACATTTTCTAGGGTATCTTGAAGATTGAATATTTAATACCTTGACCCAGTATTTCATAATGTTTTAATAACTATAGATATTCATTCCGCATTCAGCATATATTCTTGCGTTTTCTGTGCTAGATTTTACACCCAAGAACTTTTAACATGCATATAAATGTCTCTTTTCAATAACATCCAAATGTTCTAGGCCCTTAATTTCCGATCCTTACAATAAAATCGGGATGCTTTTTGTATGAAATATTTTAAAGTAAACGTTAAATGTAATATTGTCCAAAACTCTAAGACTTTTTAATATGACTCCACAGGTATTCTTGGCTTGCAAAGCAATGTTATGTGCAATATTTGACCAAGTTAATCTACTTGTAAAAGACACAGCTAAGTATTTATAAAATGGAACAATTTCTACAAGTTTTCCTGTTTTCCCATGTTAATTACTCAATGTTTAGTGTTTTCAGGGGACCCTCATCGATAAAATGAAGCAGTACTGGCCACATGAATTGTTCCTGACGGTCTTTAGCATTTGTCTCCATTTTTGAATTGTTCATGTAGATAGGTATCATAACATTTATATATATAGTCATATTCAGGTGATGTCTCTGCATGTATGTAATGGAAAACTTCTCGAATTTAATCAATTTTCCTCCTGGCTATTCTGGGCATGTGGAACATCAGCTTTAGGATTACAGATGTATCATAGTATTTTAATGTGATTTGAATATTATTCTTCACCATCTTACTATATGCTTTACATGAGACATTTATGTCACCATAAATTACAATTACTGTCTGTAAGCTCAACACATCTGACAAATTCTCTGAAACACATGATTGTAAACTATTAATGTACGTTGAAAAGAATATATACTGAACCGCAAAAGAAACGACACCATGGATTTTTTATAAGAAACCTTATTTGTCCAAACACTGTAAACATACTTTGAGACATATTAAAAAGATGAAACTTGGCAAAACTGATCATCAAGGTTGAAATTAAAGTGTCAAATGTTCTTAAAGTTAAACACAACACTAGTCTCTGTGAAAATGTCATCACAAGTCAGTATCTCGTGTACATGTGTCCGCCATGTGCATTGATGACTGCCGTGCAACGTCGATACATGGAATGGATGAGGCGGTTGATGAAGGCCATAGGCACATGAGCTCACACTCTGAGGAACGCCTGACGCGGTTCAGCTGCAGTTGTCGGCCTTAGTCGGACGTCATTCAGGTGTCTTTGAATCTCGTCCCATAGATGCTCATCCATTGTATTTAAATCGGGACTGAGGGCAGGCCACTGCATGGTTCTGATGCCATTCTGCTGGAGGAAGTCTCTTGTTGCTCTCGCAGTGTGGGCACGAGCGTTATCATGCCGAAACTCGTGGTTACGACGACGTGCCAAATGAGGTACGGCGTGTGGTCTCAAGACTTGATCAATGTCCCGAGCGGCTTTGACACCATAACCTCTCCCAGGACCGATGTTCTGTAAGACCACAGGGCCGACCCTCTGTGCAAGACCAATTCCACCCCACACCATGATGCTCGGACCACCCAACGAGTCTCTCTCAACACTACAAGCATCCGAATAATGTGCCCCACGGCGGCGCCAGACTCTCTCTCTTCCAATCTGCTGTTGAGATACAGTAACGGCTCTTGTCTGAGAAGAGGAGTCTTCTCAACTGCTGGTGGCGCCAATGCTGGTGCTGTGTTGCCTACTGAAGACGGTCCCGTGGTGTCAGAATAGGTCCTGGGTGTGGCCTGTGACAGTGTCTGCTCGTCAATCGTCGTCGCACGGTGTCCGCACTAATGTGTCGCTGGTGTGTCTCCATGGTCTATCGAGCAGTTTCCGCAGCAGTAACAAAGCGATCTTGAAAATACTGTCGCACAATCCTACGATCCTGGCGTCGGGTGGTGACCCTTGGTCTTCCACAACATGGTCGGCCATCTGTAGTGTTGGTGGTCCTGTATATGGTCCTTACGTGGGCTCGAAATGCATTGGCTACTTGCCGGGTGGTTTGTCCAGCTTGCAATCGTCCAAGGGCCTGGTGTCGCTGATTTCTTGTCAATCTTGGCATGTGGTAGCAATTCTATAACGAATGAATGTTACCAGATCTGGGTGGATTTTTATAGGGCAAGAAATAGGGGAACGCATGTGCATTTCCATTTGCATGGAACTCACGTGCATCGGGTTACCATGTATCCTCCATGACATAACCTACTCTCGTTAAGTAAATTCTACTCTTTCTCAGCGTCTTTGCTACCGAGCTGAGACAAAGAGACCAACCACCATAAAGTAATTAAGGTCCAATATAAACAAACCTCATAAATATTATCACTGGAAGTCATACTACAGACGTTTAATGTCAAATCACACAAATGTTTCAATGACAATAACATTTTCTAGGATCATGTATTCTCTTAAAACCACCCCAAAAGATCATTTAGAAGCCAATGGTCGTATAAATAAGATGGATCTAATTGATCACAACAAAACTCAAATTCTCCTACTAAATCACGTCTAAAAACGAGACGTTTGCAAGTACATACCTAATTGTGTTATATTATTTTTGTCAGGATATCAAAAGTTGCTCTCCTTGTAAATACCTCGAATTTCAGCTTTACCTGGGTCCTTATTTCGTCAAAAGTTTGTTCCCTCTGAAATGAGTGTGTCACACGGGTTGCGATGATTAGGCTCCCGATAGACCGATGTTTTAATTTTTGTGTGCAAAGGCATGTTAGTTTTGAGGTATGAAATGGAATTAGATACCTGATTTTGAACAAACTGAATCACGCACTTTTTCAGTATCACCTTTTAATGCTATTTGTATGCCAAATAGGCATAGCAGTATTTGCCTTTGGATTCCGCACCGTTGTGTCCTTACATTTTGTGTCAAGTCAGCAACAATGCCGCAAATGGAGAATTGTTGAATTTAATTCTTAAATGTTTCCCTTACATATAAGATATGCATTTTCGGCTCATTGTTCTATTTATGTCGTCTTGGGTCTATATTATGCCTGTTACCGTTTTTAAAATCATAAATGTATATGACCTGTATATTGTCGTTGTACATGTGTCAAATTTGAATCAATAATGTCAAGAGGCGCAGTTTACACTGTAAAAACACCCAAGCACAAAGCTGTTATCAAGCAACTGTATCGTGATAACGTCAAAGACACATTTTCTTGCAGAATCTGATATATTTAGAAACGCTAACACTAACTCACCGGTACAAAGTAAACAATGTTGGTGATATAAATATACTTTATTTGAATGTTAATACAAACATATCTATATATTCAATTTCAATCACGGATTTTGCAGGTAATAAAGCTCACTTTTACACAGGTATTGTTCAATAATCATCTATGCTCTTTATTTCAATAACCTTATGGTCACAAATAGCACTACCCGGTAACCCAACCTGACTAGTCTGTTATACAGACCTTGAAACAAAATTAGGAAAAGAACCTATGTGCAAGTCTTTATTAGTTTAGCAAATCCAGATGTCTACAGTTAAGTCATTCAAATTCCTTGCTTCTATCATATTTAAAAGAGATGTCTTGTGTTATTATATTTTCAGAGACCCAAGTTAAGTGACGGCCTGGAATATGAGCTACTTTGCCTTGATAACCAGGTACATGTGGTTGACCAATATGACGGCCAGCATAACATGAAACAATGAACGTTCCTTCACATGCTTGTACTAACATTACCGCCCATGTTTACTAACAAAACATTAGGATACAACATGGTTACTACAAAGATGTATCATGCAAAAATAAGTCAAGCTTCGATAACTGACAGGATTCTATTTGGTCTCCCTACAAGGCATGAGAGACGTCAACGGCAACACAAACTCGTGATTGTCCGTCTGGTAATCGGGCTGGTAATCTTTCAGAGCAGGTTTCCAATCCTTTGAAGGCCGTAGTGTCTGGTAGAACCTCTGCAATCAAAGAAACAAAAACGATGTATCTGCAGAGAGCAATATAACACTTTAAAAAAATAGTCATACTTGTACTTTGCACTAGCTAAAGTTCAACATTTTATAGTCACTAGTTCTGAACATGATGTAAGAAGTTTTTAATCCAAGCCAACTGTCAAACTACATGATGCTTGACAAATGAAGTACAGTTATTTTCCTCCAACTACAAATGCATGGTATTCAACACATATTTTAATCATAAATATTTTCATTCTTAACTATGAGCAAGGTCGATTGTAGGTAGGATCGCATTCTAATAACAGTTTATTAGATTGTGCGGCACAAGTAATGGTACAATATTAACTGACCTGCCATAATGTCCCTTTGGCCCTGCTGAGCTCCCATACCATAACTATAGGTATAGGGAAGATAGGTAGCATGGAGAACAGGAACCCCATGCCCCGCGCTGCAGTAGGGTACGTGTACCCGTCGTATGTGGGCATCTGGTAACCAGTCACAGTCACAAAAAATACCATCTGTGGATTAGAAAACAAGATTAGTTTACTGATATCCATAATTGTGGTAATCTGTTTTCCCTTATGAGGGAGGAATACCATCTTAAAGTCTTACCAACAGGATGATAGGGTTAGAGATACACCAGCAGAAACGCATAATGACACCCGGTCGTCTTCCCAGCATCAGCTCTATGTCACGGCCAAAACGATGTACGCCTGGGAAACAAACTCAATGTCAGCTACCATGTTCACGCAAAATATCCAGTCATGCACATGTACATGTAACTTGAGTTTCTATAGCTTGTCATGTAAAGGCACAAATCAACTTTTAGAAAAAAGCATACATGAAACAAATCCTACGAGACAATTTCTTCATTTGACGTTTGGGATTAATGATTTAAAGACATGTTTACATGGTGTAACTGAGATATATTTCTGATAGGTCATTGTATTGGTTCTGTTCTTAGTGTGCGGCGCCAAAGAATACGTAGAATAACAGTATTTACAGGACACAATATCCTCTTAGTTGAAATCAGTTCGCGGTTCATGAACCTTACCATATATCCAACCAATGATGACAGATTCGAGAAGCCCGGTGATGACCAAACAAAAGGCGGAAGTAAACCAATCCATTAACTGGAAGATGTAGATACCTCCCTGGAATGCATTTTGTTTTAATACAACTATGTGAGTAATGTGAAACTGGAAGGTTTGTTGAGATTCAAATGCTAAGAGAAACAGTACCCTTTTGCATGTAACAAGTTTGTGTGTGGATCTATACTTGCAGCATTATATTTGGTCAGAAACATGCCCAGTCGTAGCAGAGAGGTTGTGACTGCTAACGGAGGCACACTCACTACTCAGAGCAGTGGCATTTCTTTTCTGAGTGCGGCAACAGTTTACATTGCTTTTGTTGTGTTCATGATTAATGGTATTAATTTACACCACCTGAATTAGAAATAAAAGAGACCAGTGAAACCGCCTGATCTATTTCATATTTAGATCTATGCATAAAAATTCAGAGTGACAAAAGCTATCCACAAGACTGTACGACAAAAGTGATGACCTCAACTTTCAAATAGTTTCAACTTTCCATTAACGTCGAGCAATTATCCAGTAGCTCCAGCCTTTGGTGTCTGCATTTCAATTTTTTTAGGTACATTGGTTGATGTCCAAATTTCTTACAATTATGGAAGTGTTTATATTTTGTCGCTTTTTGTTTCATTACGCAACCGAGTAATACTCTTTCCATGTGATACTTTTTCATTCTGTTCCATGGTAATCGGTTATAATCGAACAGCGTTTCAATGTATTGGTAAGTTTATTTTGATATTGAACAATAACTTTTACACACAACACTTTTGTTTGTTACTATTGTGTGGAAATGTGTATGTGTTTTTGGTTAAGCCAAGCTGAAACGTGGTTATAAGGATGCATTCAATAATCATTTCTGATCTTTGTAATGCGTAATATTTCATATTGGGGACATACATTTAGCGTTAATGGCAGCGAAACCAGGAAGAAGAGAATGGCCATTCCTCCAGTTACGAAGGTCCTGTAACGCTGTAACTTGTGTGGGAAGGCGTCGATAATTCCTGCCACAAGGTTTTCAAACATCCCAAACTGGAATTACAGAATTAAGACATTACGTTGAACACCTTGAACCATCACTAATTGATAGTGATTCGTAGACACATGTTTATGATATTGTCACAATTGAACCACGTGCTCTTCAGCAGACATGTCTTATGATTATGAAATTGTTATGTCGTTCGTATTATCATTAATATATTTACAAAGGAACGTGTACCTGCTGCCAGCAGTACAGCATGCAATGCCAGTCATTTTATCTCATTGCAGAAGGATACGACATTTGTAGGTATTGCTATTATTTGACATACATTTTATTGTAACAATACAGAGATAATTCGTAATTCATCAGTGGAAGAATAAGTGATTAAAAAGGTAGGCATTAACATTGAATATATGATTGGCACTTTCTTATTGTTTGACATAATGTGAACAAAATCTGTTACCTGACTGTCCAGGCCAAGCGTGAAGAGCATGAGGAAAAAGAGCACGGCCCATAGCTGGGGAAGAGGCATCTTGGTGATGGCTTCTGGGTAGGCTACTAATGCTAGACCCGGGCCTGAAACATTGAAACATAATTTTTAGAAAGCTAATGTGTCTTTCACTCGAAATTATTCTCGTTGGCAAACCGCATACACCTGTTAAAACCAATAATTACTTCAAAGTACTATTGCTACATGTATATGACTAGATGACTAGATGATGTTTATGTTAGCTGTCCTTATGGAATGTTCATAACACTAAAGTACTGTCGGAAATCTAGAAAAATGCTTTTTGCCCGTTGTAAAAGGATAGACTCTTTCACAGACTGTTGCTATTGAAATATCGATCGACCTACCTGTGATTTGAAGTATTTCTGTCACAAGGAGTCCTATCGACAATTTTACAGGAGAAAAATCCGAACGAAAGCAGATGAAAGAATGAAAGTTGTCCAAAACGGACTATAGCAAAATGCGCACGTGACTCCGTTATAATGATAATAAAGTAGTCCACATAAAACATCTAACCCGCACCAAAAAATATCATTGGAGAAAATTCTAGATGTGCGTCTTCTAAAATAACAAAATGCTGCTGCATTTGTTTTGTCAACACTGCTCCCATTATGCATGTTACATTACATTTGCACAGCCATAGCCATGGTCCTCGACATTGCATCTGTACTAGAAAAGTTTAGAGAGATAGAGGGAAACAATTATTAGTTTAGATAGGGTGTATTACCGAACTGCCCAAGCTGTGGGGATTTCAATTCATACCAACAAGTCTACGGTATGATTAACAAAACAGAGAACGTATATGGGTGGTCTCAAAAATAAAACCGGGATGTGAAAGGATATTAGACAGCTTTGATACAGAGTGATTAGGCGTATAGTTTTCAAGCTTTCTGAGCAGAAGGTACCTCCGACTTGTAGTAAAATTTGGGAGGAAATTGAAAACAATTAATGTTTCCCGGACTGCATTAAATATTGTTCTCCACGAGATTTTCGATACACTGAGTATGGCGATGACCGAGCAGTTTTCAGGGGAAAATATTCCATCCTGTCTGAGGTCACATTATCTCCTCACCATTCATAACTATCGCAGTCAGGGCTTCCAGGTCATTGGCCTAGATGGAACCTGAGTGAATAAGAATTGTTCCACTAACTACATGTGGCTACCGTCAGATGGACGAAAAACACCATGGAGCCATCAGATAAAAGGTAATCGTCTCATTGTTTTCCACGCTGGAACCTTTTGATTTTTGGCTTTTTGATGGATATGAGCTAGTTTTCGAGGCGAAAAAGAAAACTGGTGAGTATCACAAGGACTTGTTTGGAGATGATGTGTTCATGATGTAAACATCAGTTACCGCTAAATCTTAACAACCCCAGTGTCACTGTCACTGGATAACGTCAGTTAATATAACGGCCCGTGAAGATCTCGGGTAGAATAGATCTTCAGCAACCAATGCTTGTCGTAAAAGGCGACTATATATGTTTGTCGTATGAGGCTACTAACGGGATGAGGTGGTCAGGCTCGCTGACTTGGCTGATGCATGTCATCGATCCCAATTGCGGGGATCGATGCTCATGTTGTCAGTCACTGGCTTGTCTGGTCAAGACTCGATTATATACAGACCGCCGTCATATCGCTGGAATATACGGCGTTAAGCAACAAACAAACAGTTCATATAACGTTGGGAACCAGACTCTGTCGCGCCAACCATGAGTAGTCAGAAGGCGACTATATAACATCTTGCAATGTCGACTTCAGACCATCTGAAACGCAAGTTCAACTCATGGAGAAAATTCGCCTGAATAAAAAACCAGTAAAGTACAGGACATATGTCCTGGTGGCACAATACGGTCACGATGTCTTACCTACGCCAGTCAGACGTTGTGAGCTCAACCCTAAAGAGCCTGTCTTGGCTAATTATTAAAGGTTCGTGGCAAGACATAACACAACATTCAAACTCGCGCATGTCAAAGGGAGGGTCAACGTAGTCTTTGCTAGATATCAGCTTTGTTGAACCAGTTATCATACCTTTGGGTGATAGTGCAGATTTATATTCATCACCAGTGGAGTCAGATGCTATACCTGAAGAAATCATCTTTTAGAACATCATATACTTCTTGATTCAAAACACCACAACCTTCCAATACTCATCCCGTTGCACAGCTATCATTTTTACAAGCAAATATAATGCAGTACATATTATAAATTGCTACCCCATCAACGTATACCTCAGTAAAGTACAATAACAGCAAATATTTTGAGACCACCCCCAAATCAGGTGACATTTGCACCTGTGAAAATGCACGGCCGGTGTGAGGTCAAAACCTAGGGACAGGTGTTAGGTTATAGGACGTTTCACACATGCATGACCATACACGAATATTTTCTAAGTTTATCATCATCTTACCTGTAAAAGTACCTTTTCAGACTAATCACATGATGATTTGCGTTATTTTGATATATGCTATTTTCATAGAATTCGTAACTATTATCATATAAAAGCATTTTTTCTAGCATTTCGGGCAATACTTTAATGTGTTGTCTCAATAATCAGTTGGGTATTCACTGAATATTAATTACGTCCAATAATACCCCCAATATACATATTTGCAATTTGGTCATATATTATCATTTTATTGAAGGGGCACATTTAATACACAACATATAAACAAAACAAACAACAAATATACTATGAGCAGAATGCATGCTTGAGATAATAAACACAACAATGAGCGTAGTGTTCAGCTCAGGCATAGATGAGGTGAGCTGCGTTCCTTCGTGCGAAACACCCTGCTCGGGGCCGTTTGTACCCTTGCAGACGAAAGGCCATTCTAAACAGTTACATCTAGATATAAATATTGTAATTGCTCTGTTGAGGATTTAAAATATATTAGATGCTGATTAAGCACAACAAACGATGAGGAGGGGACTTTATTGACTTTAGATACTAAAAAGTAAAGGTTGGGGAAACAATGCACTGCTTAAGAAGGAGGCACATGTTAGATTATCGGTGACATGATCCTTATTACAGTATACAAAACAAATAATAAAAGGTGTAAGTGTCACACTGTTACAAAATCACTACCCCCGGGTATTAACATTTTTACCCATTGAAATAGCATCAGATGTGTCCCATCTTCGTAACATTAGGAGGGCACGGGTGGCCCAGTCGCGATTCGCTGTGCAGAGTTGCGTCCCTTGGGCACGACAGAAACCTATGATTGTGGGTTCGAATCCCGGTTCGCCCCGATTATGTTTCTAGGTTTGTCAGCACCATACCCGTGCTCGTGGGTTTCACCGAAGTGGTAAACGTCTAAGACCTCCATCTCTTCGGGCTTTCCTCCCACAGTTAAGCTGTCACGCCGTGATATAACTGGAATACTGTTAAAGGCGGCGTTAAACCCAACTCACTCACACTCACTCGTAACATTAGAATTTTTGATGTAACTGACAAATGGTTATTTACTAACCTTCTGTAGCCACCTCAGTGATGCTGAGGTTGGCCTCTTTGGCCATAAATCCAACCACGGAGAAGATGACGAAGCCACTGTAGAAACTGGTCAGACCGTCAGCAAGAGTAACTATGATGGCGTCCCTGGGAAGATTTATATTTGCATCTACAATATACTGTGTGTGGTAACGTTTACTTGATCATTAATACATATATTAATATATAATGTAAACAAATGATTTGATTTATATATTTCTTTCGTACAATTTATACTCATTTTGATATCTTGTATTTTACAATTGTTGTTTACTTCTTAAAACCTCTCACCTGATGACTTTTAGATGACACGTTAATATTTTACTAATTATTTGTGTTACTATTTCCATAGTCCTGCACCATGACTGTTTTTTTTTGGTCATAAAATAAACATATTCCACAATCAAGAAACGTATACAAAAGCCAGATCTAGCTAGCTCTATTGCACATAATCAGCATACGGAAGGGTATTGTGTTACTATTTCCATGGAAGTATCACATTTGTGTGCACTTTATTTAGTTCAATTGGTTATTATTTAAACGTCATTATGGTCAGTCAGTTTGACTGTATCTTTTGCCCGGGGCAACTGACTGAGAACTGATATAATGACATATTTATTAATTGATTTCCCAAACTACTTGTTTCCAAGTTGTACCAGGGAAGGAGACCGTGAAAAATATGAACATGTCACAGTTATAACAAAACAGGATCTACGCCCTAACAAAGTGTCATGACAGCAGTCTATCGCCTTATAATAGCCGAATTAAAGTAGAGCTTGGAGTTAGGCATTGACAACATCAAACACTGGTATGCCTGCCCCTATCGGATTACTGATGACTACGGCATAAAGATAAATGATAATTAACTCACACCCATCCCAGTATATTTTTTTTGTTTTATTTAATATTCAGATATTATATATTGTCTTTTATTGTATACATGAGTGTGTCATTTGTAGTAATATAAAAAAAATATGAGTCATATTTCATTAAAGGTCATATTTCACAGTCATTAAAATAAAAACCAGTATTTTCATTGCCTGGGATGACGAAGCAAGTTTCATGCACTGTTACCGCCCTTGAAAGTTGACTCCCTTGGATCGTCTGCTGGCGTAAAACCGAAACAAAACAAGATGAGTAACAACGTTTCACCTTGTGATACTGACTACTTAATTACAGAAGAGTAACACCATGCTGTCCGATGTGTTCTTGTTTGACTTGAGTACCCAAACTTGCGATGAGGCGGACCACTTATCTTTTCCATGATTGTCGCTTCATTTTATATATGTATTAATGCACTTTCCCACTTGTGCGTCACAAAACATCTGAATATAATTTTTAAAGGATTCATGTTTTTCCAAATATGGAGAATTGACAATAAATATAGAAAATGATAAAAAAAACCACAGAATTATGTATGTATTCATAAACACTTATTATATAGTCTGAATCGTACTATCGATTTCTACTGGATATGGAAAGTGTTTTGAAGCTTTATTGACATGAACAAAGCCGATTCTCTCTCTCTCTCTCTCTCTCTCTCTCACACACACACACACACACACACACACACACACACACACACACACACACAGTGCTGCAGACGGGATAGCTGCATAATATGGTTTTGATTGCAGTCCTCGGTTGGCCCTTCCTATCTAAGTATTGGTATGAAATCGACATATGTTCAACATGAAGGCAACTTCTATTTCAAAAACGAAGATTAATTTACAGATAACATTAAAATATGTCCATTGAAGTTGGAGGACATTTTTCTTTCGAACCCATCCCCATGCAGTATTTCTTCATGTTGCACAAAAAAAGCCAAACGCATCCTATTTTGATAAGTGATCCTGAATTCAAATATAGCCCTAATTATAATACTGTAACATGCAGTCGACCTTATTGTATATTTAGAGAAAATAATTGGATGAAAAGAATCGCGTTCTTTAATTTAAATTTTGCAAACAAGGGAATTGGTGCCTTAAATTCTCAAAATGTCCAACAATATTTCAAATTTCAGGAACACCAACAATTTCATGTTCCTATACGAACACTATTTCATCCAGGATGTTCACTTGTAGGAATGTGCCGCAGAACCTGGACTTGCTCATGATGTAAATTCCACTACTTGTGTATGCCAAGACTCATCATAATGCTATCAACCCTCGGCCATATTATCAGGACTTATCTATTGTTGACAATGAGAACCTTCGTCAGTTATTAGAATATGGACCAGAATACCGCGAGAAACGTCATACCAATTTGGATTTCAGCATTACAATCATTATGAATGTTGTCGAAGAAAATGCCAAAATATTGGGCCAAAAGAGAAGAGGAGCCTGTGAGTGTCTTTCAGAGTGGATGCGTGATGTTGCCATTGGTAGAATGCACAAACTTGAAAATAGGAAACGGAATTTGAATAAACTCATTCTGTTCAAGCCAGCTGTCAGCTGTCTGGTTACCCTACATGAAAAGTTTGTATCCCACTGACAAGGCCTCAAATAAAATGAAATCGTTATATGAAAATAAAGCGACAAAACCCTTTCCATATCCAATAGAATTCTCGAGTCGATTGTACGATTCCGACCACAATATGATCATGTGGCAAACTTGAGGAAACATTCATTCCTTGATTCATGAGGCTTTTGGTGACAATGTACGTATCTATATTCAGAGGTTCAGGACAATTCGTGAAAAATGAAAGCAAATGCCATCTGAAGTCTACTGAGAAAGTAATATGTGAAATGCTTGACTTCCTCATTGATAACATGTACGTAAAATTTGGGGATAAGACATTTAGGCAGGAAGTAGGCATCCCCATGGGCACCAATTGTGGCCCCCTTCCCGCGGTTCTGTTTCTTTATGCATAAAAATCGGAATTTCAGCTCGGATAGGCAAAGTCAAACAAGATAATTTGGCCAAGAAGTTTAACTTATGATTTAGGTATATTGATGATCTGATATCGTTCAATAACAATCAAATAGCCAATTCCCTTCCACTGATTTACCCATCCAAACTAGAAAGAAAGGGGACCAGGGAGAACACATCATTTGTTTCATATTTAGATCTATGCATAAAGATTCAGACTTCAACTTTCCCTTCATGTCGAGCAATATTCCAGCAGCTCTAGCCTTTGGTGTATTTGATACGGAAAGGGTTTTGTCGCTTTATTTATATTAATTATTTTGTTTGTTAAGTTGTAATGAGAAACTATTTTGTGCACACGCTGTCGATTAGTGTAGTGACTGAGAATGTAACTTGGCCAGTTGTATATAAAGAATGTACATATTCTATATTTTGTTTGCTCTGTGCTGGTTTTCATAGGTAGGCTTGGAAAATGGGGCATTTTAGTATCAAAATGAATATTGTAAATATAATATTTCATGCTTTTTGTCATTTCATGAAGTGTGCAAAAGTGGTTTGTAATAATGACAATAATAACACTCGAACCACCTGAAGCAGTTGTTGTGGAATTTATTGTAGCTGGCCATGGTGATGACTGACCCCCAGGCTGCTCCAAGGGAGAAGAATACCTGCAGGGCTGCCTCAATCCACACCTGCAAGATACATCAAGTAAGGCGGACATGATCATTGTGCATGCGTTGCATGTTAACATTTATTTTTATTACATTTCAATTGTATGGGTGATTCCTATGTTTTTTTTACTCACGGGGTGATGAGGTCGCTAATCACATGAAGTGCGTTCAAGGTCAAGCTGGAGTTATTTTTTATTCACATAATTCATTAAACTTCTCCAAGATGTGTACTAGGGAAATGAGGCTTTCTGTGTATTAAGTTTCGCATTACACTTGTGTTTTACCAACACGGAACTGAAACAATTAAATTGAATAGCCAATTCTGTGGAAGAGGCTAGATACTTTAATCTTGTGACAGTAGGTATGCATTTCACCAAACAACGCATGGTGGTTTTCTGGGTCTCCTTCTGTTTTGGCAAGCAATTGCAAAATTTGTTACTATATTTATGGCCATTGCTTAGCCATTTTTGTTAACACTGTAATATAATTTGGTATATGATTGGTTAGTTGTGGATATGTCCTGTTTTTCGATTTTTGTGTATTGTATGTTTTGAACTTGACTTCTTGCTGATCTCTCACAAAATGCATGTGGTTGCACTATAAACATCGGATGCAAAGAAACTGAAGTTTCAGCTGTTCAAGTTATTCATTATGAACAGACAGAGCCTGCTGTCTGTGCGGTGTCAGGCAAGAAACAAACACGTAATTTTGTATGCAAATTGTGCGAGTGGCAAGTGCTACCGGTAGGGCAGGACATGCTGATCTTTTTCGCAAACACCTGGTGTCATCACTGATTTTCAATGATCCATTCAGAACATTGTAACCGCTATTTTGCCTTTTACTCGAAATTGATTTTCGCGAACACCTGGTGTCTTCACTTATTTTTAGTGACCCATTCATATAATTTTCATAGCTGTTTTGCTTTTTTACATAAACAATAATTCCGTCTTTTGCGGCGGATAATCGGGACTGGTTATTCTCTGGCATTGTCGTTTTATGTTTATTAGGGCAACCGATATGTAAATGGAGATTCTTTGAGGTTTTGCATGATTATAACTGCCTTCGCAGTTGTCATGGCAAACTGTAATGTAATTTGGTATACGTTTAGTTAGCAGTGGAACTAAACACATGTTTTCATGTTTTGATCGTTCTCTTCGTTTCTCTCATTTTTGCCTCTATGAAAATATTTTCCTCTGAAATTACCAGACTGAGGAAGCTGAACTTCGGCATGTGTGTTTCTTCATATGATATCATCATTTTTTGTGTGGTATTTTAAAATCATTGCTCCCAACGTCTTTTGTCAAGTCTCTTTCTATTGCTAAAAATTCTAGGTGCCATATTTGATAAGCTATTCAAATCAATTTCCGTGCTAACATAACATACATGAAGGGGTACACATGAAAAGGTTTTTAAACTTCATAACTACAGATATGACTTACAGAATAATTTGCAAGCTTTGAAAAGTCTGGGTATATGTAAAACTTGATGCCATCTGCAGCACCTGGTAGAAGCAAGCCTCGGATCAGCAGAATCGTCAGCAGGATGTATGGAAGCAGTGCTGTGACATACACCACCTGCAACATGTATTGGAACATAAGCTTGCAGGCAATTGTTGAATTGCAGCGTTTGGGTTTCTTTGCAGTTCCTTTTGGAAGGACTGATCCCGATTGTCACACTTGACCGTACTCTAGATGATGACAGTACCTTGCCGAGAGATTTGATACCCTTGATTAGGCACAGGAAAATGAACAGCCAGGACACAAAGAGACATCCCACGAGATGAGGTTGTAAGGTTCCCATGTCGTCCAAACCATCAGACTTCCGTAACACGTAGTACCTATGATATGTGTGTATAAGCAACACGAGTTAATTTTATAATTTCGTCACCCACAAATTAAGTGTGTAAGTTGGTGTGTGCCATTCATTTAAAAACAAATATGTACCAGGAAATCATTCCGTTCCATGTTTGGATAAACTAGATAAGCTGCCATTCGAAATCAGTGATTCTAAATATTCAGTAGTTGCAAGGCAGTCAGGGATAAGAATGAAAACAAACATTATTTCTCCATTTACCACAATGCTTCTGTTAGCATGTCTTTTTAGGTGATGTTCATCTCACTGATATAGTGATAAACTATAATTCTAAAAGATAACTAACTTTTAACTAGCTATGGCTCTTACCGGTGATATATGCAAAAGACTGATTTTCATTTCCAACCTCTAGTTGCTGACAAAGCTTCCATTCGATCGCAACAGAGAACATTACAATATCTTGAAAACGCAAATGCCATAGTGGTTTTCAGATGTGTACCCTTATCAAAAGGAAGTTAACAAATAGTGTACGTACTGCCAAAATTCCTCGGCTGCTGTTTTGTCACCAAATCCAGTCCTGGATACATTTCTAAGAGTTATGTTGCCCATGGAAGACCTCAGAAAGACCGTTGCATTATCGTAGTTATAACCAACGTCGGAGGTTGATACTGGAACTGTTGAGTTCAGCTCAGTGCCATTATCATGCACAGGGCCGATACATGTGTCCGTGTTCCACCAGTTGTCGCACGTGAACCAGGGTAGTGTTGGATAGAAGGAGTTGATGAAGTAGAACATGACCCAGGCTAGTACGGCCACGTAGTAGATACTTGTGATCCCAGAGACAATACAACATCCCCATCCTATCCCTGAAATGTTTAAAGTTAACTAAAAATGTTTTGGTGAAATAATTAGTTTAGTTACCAGTCGGGGTTGACCATAGATGGATAACATGTTTATAAAAATATTATACTTGCCACATTTGTTTCACAATCTGTGACTAAAGATCCATGTCATCAGATCACTTTTGAAGAGAATCAAATCCATAAACTTGACCTTTCGTATGGCTAGGTGTCACGAATCTGCTAATGCCCCGGTCATCTGACCTCTCTACTCTCAGGCTTTATTTCAGACACTGCTCAGCGGTCGTCGTTGTTGTTCAGTGGCATTACATTCTGTGTTAGGGAATTAATGGCCCGACTATTTCATTCTCTTGCGATTAAATGGCACACTCATACCATGTATTGATGTATGTTATCTCTTATATATTCTTGTATTGAGTGAATGAAAATGGTTTTACGCCGGTTGCGAGTGAGTGTTATAATGTCTGTAATCATAAAAGTTGAACTGTGTTAGTTAGAATAAAATCCTTTGGAGCGTCACACACAAACAGCATACATATAATCATTCGTATGATCATGTTTCTGAATGATAGAATCGGAAAAGCCAGGGCTTTACTTGAATGCTCCAGTCTGTGTTTAGTTGGGTTTAGGGGCGGGGTCGTGAGAATGTACTATTTATTGTTGATACCATCAAAAGACATCCAACTTAGTATGGCTTTTCATTTTAAATTCAAGACATATGTGTGCGCTTACATATATTCCTTGGGATTGTTCAGGACAATTTATGAGAAAATGAAAGCATATTTCATCCGAACTTTACTTAGCAAACAATATATGCTTGACTTCCTTATAGATAACATAAGACACTTAGAGGTAAGAGATTTAGGCAAGAAGTTGTCATCCCCTCTTTGTTGATCTGTTTCTTTATGCATATGAATCGTAATGTCAACACAAGGGAATTGGGCAAAGACGTTTAACTTAAGCTTCAGTTATATCTATGATATGATATGGTTCAGTGTTGGTCAAATAGTCAGTTCCCCTTCACTTATTTACCCACATGAACTGTTTCATACTTTGATGTTTACATAAAGATTAAGAGTGACAATAACTGTTCACAAGGCTGTTATACAAGAGGGATGACTTCAACTTTCCAACAGTCAACTTTTCTTTTATGTCGAACAAAATTCTAGCAGCTACAGACTTTGGTGTCTACATAATTACAACTTTTGAGGTACAATGGAGAATGCTGTTTCTATGAAGAGAAGCAAAGAGACTTGTTAAACACACGTAGAACACATTTCCAAATTTGACACATCATTGACCAAAACCTGTTCTATTCAATTCTTATTGATTCAGGTGAACATTTTACATGGCTGGTGTAATATTTTGGATATCTAGGTAAGAGTGGTCATGTATATAATGAAAGTACTATTGCTAAAATGTATATAAAATAGCGACATCAAACATGTGACCAACCTTTGAAGAGAGGGCAAAGTTTCCAGACAAACAGCGGACTTGTTCCCGAGAACTGACCCAAACAGACCTCCAAGTAAAACATTGGAATTCCAATTGCAAGCAGGAAGAAGAAAAAAGGGATGAGGAAAGCCCCTACAATTAATGAAAAAATATCCTTCAGTTATGTAGATCTTCATTTTGTGAATACTGTTCGTTTAGTAATATTGAACTTCACTATTGAGGCAAAGCAGGAACAATCGGTGTGGTGCATATGCTTTTGTTTAGGGGAAATACAGTACGTAACGTAATTAATGTCTGACAGTCCTTTACACATGAAACAGTAGGACAAAATAGGTCATCAACAAGACATTACCTCCTCCATTGCGCAGGCAAAGATAGGGAAACCGCCATAGATTAGACACTCCCACTGAATATCCAATGAGGGACAAGATGAAGTCCAACTTCCGGTCCCACTGGCCTCGTTCGTGTTTATATTCTGTCTCGTCTTCTGGTGTAGGTTTCACATAATCACCAGAGATTTCATTAATAAATGATGTTGTTTCGTCTTTGTGTACATGATCCATGACCTGTGGCGTTTGATAGAAAGAAAATGTTGACAAAAAAAGATTCCTTGATTACAAAACTTATAAGGTCAGATTGGCATAATTTTCAGCCAACTAAAGACAAGGGTGAGTGAGTTAACACAATAAACATTTTTAAACGGCACAAAAGCCGTCCTTAGGATATATTGTAGCAATTCAATACAACATGAAGCAAAAAAAGGTTCTTTGGGTATTTGTCAACAGGCAATGTTTGACATCATCTGTTATCAATACAGGTAACCTGAGCTTTATTGTTAGCTCATCTCAAAATTAGTCATCTTATAAGATCCCTCTCAACAGTTTTTGGTACTCGCTCCCCACTAGAAGACGCCCAATCGGTCACTATGCTGAAAAAAGTGTTTAATCCTTAATTTTAACCAATTGCTTAGAATGCAAACGTGTCAGATTCTAAACATTCTATTATATATATATATATATATATTGAGTAACATGTTTGAAATTGTCAGTTTTGTCTGAGAGGTTTACCTGATGTGGTATCACATAAAAACCGACATATGTCTTTTGAATAATACATGATTTCATTGCCCTACGATAAAAGACTCTTTGCAGTTTTGGTAAAGCTATTGTTACAACTGTAGGTCTGCTGGACACGTATATTCATCTTATTGATTCGCGAAAGGGACGGTAATTAAGTAACTCGGGAATGCCACTATTAACTGTATTCCAAGTCCTGTGAACATGTTTACGGTTAATAAAAGTGGCAAAACCCTTTTCAATAAACACAAGAAATCGCTGCTAAATTGTACGATTCTCACTGTATCGTGATTATGTATTTTGAATCACTATCAAATAGTGATGATACCAGGTGTTCGCGAAAGGTAAAGATGCTTAGATTTTGGGGATTGTCACGATGCTTAACTAACCATTCCGCCGTCAAAGCTAGAGTAACGACTCACCCAGGGAGGAGCACACTCGTCATTGTAAAAAGGTTTTAGATAACGCACGTGAATAAAAAGTAAATAAATAGACAGACCGATTGCATTTAGGCTCATTAACAATCATAAATCAACTAATAGTTTTATAATGTGCTAATCAGTTGGCTGAAGGCGCAGCTTCGTCGCGAAACCCGAGGACTGACCAAAATGTGCAGCATGTAAGTGGTTACAGCCGAAAATTTAACAAAGAACCCGAGGGAAATTCACATAAATTACATAAGCAATAACACACACTGGACAAAATATCATCCATTCCAAAAAATCCAAAACTTGGAAATACCACCATTCCAATTGGAAATATGACCATTCCAATATTTGGAAAGGTCATATTTCCAAGCTTGGATTTGTTTGGATTTGTTTGGATTTGTTTGGAAATGTTTGGAAATATTTGGATACAACATGTCATAATCATATCTGTTAAACGTTGTACAACTTTTGACCTTATGTGAGATTAGTAATGACATGAAAGTAAATAATTAAGAGTATTTTGGCACTATGTTCCACGAAAAAGACCAAATCATGAGCAAATTTAACTAAAAGAAATTCTGTCATTTAAAGTGGCTACTCTTTATATCTAATTTCTTATCTTCCTTGCCTATAATCATATGACATTGACTTTGAACTTTGAACAATTAAACAAATATTTTGTTTTCCCATACCGACTTACGGTTGTCGTAGAACAAAGACCGTTTCGAGAATATAGAGGGCCTCATTATTATAATTTGAACTAATATACATATGTACATAATAGTACTAGGTATAAATGAATTTTGATAAGTGTTCGTACAAGAATATGAAATGCGAATTATCTCGGAATTATGCGCAACACATAGGGCTGAAAATTGTATAATTGTTCTGGAACTATCTGACTGTAATTCAAAACAGGGAACAATATTTCGTCAAATGAATTATTGAGCCAGGAATGCAACGATTTAAATGCTGAAAAAATGAATAAACATATCTGGAACAGAGTTGACTGTTCATGTGGACAATTATATGCTACGTCTATTTCCAATGAAGTTTATCACCCCATGTTATAGCATTTGTTTCATATAAAAGATAGAAACCAAATAAATGGGACAATTAGTTGTTATGAATTAGCTTTACTTCTGTGACATATCACACAACTAAATGTGAATATGTTTATCAAATAATCAATTACAGTAAGTAACCTAGTGTCCTTATTTATACACAATTTAATTACGTATTGGGGTACACTATATAATACACATATACACGGATTGATATTTGTTGTTGACAATTTAATCATAACCCAAATCATACAAATCAAAGTGTGAAAGTAGTGACTAACTTTATGATCAAGGGTATAAAAACTCAATTGTTTCTATTAATCCTAATAGTATAACAATAAACCCTGTGTATATACTGAGCATATTAAGATACATCCGGATCTACGACCGCAGCCATATAATCAATCAAGGAAAGTATATTAGATTGAATTACAAATGTGCTATCACTTAAACAAAATGTTCCGTTATCCACGTAAGCCTAAACCTGAGAGAAATAAAGTTGTGTTCTGTTCTGAAGACGCCGTCATGATTAGTTGGCGCCAGTCTAGACTGTCCAATCAACGTGAATATACAAACCGTGATGTTACTTGACCAGTTGATGACACCTGTCAAACTCAAAGTGCCCCTGGTCCTCCACCCACCATGTGTAATACTTTAGCGTACTTGATTGTTTAATTTGCAGTTATATCACTGTTAGGCTGAGTGATGAGAGAATACATTTTGTTGTTTTTGTAAATGATCGTTTCCATTTTCAACGTGGTAACCTTATAAGTGACTAACTGTTTTATCATGATGAAATGAAACATATTAAAATAATCAGAGGGACTGACGATCGCATTTTTCGCATAAATGTCATGCTCGCATTAATTTCATGATTTACTGAAGATAGATTTGAACATTTCTGAGCAACGATCATGTTTGGGTAAAGGAAGTAATCTTGTCTCCGCTTGCAATTGGATTCAGTTCCGAGATCGCAGCTTGACTGTTCGGTACGGCCGAAAGGCGGCATCCATGTTGTTCACGCTCCGCTGATCACGGATTCTGTATTCTGCTTATGAGCCGGGATGCGCATGAAACACGGGTGTCAAAACGAATATATTTACCAATTATACGTACGGTCAATTAGCAAGTCCAAGAGACAATACCCTGGTTCTACCACCTTTAGGTGTAATTACGTCGCATGCCCCTGGTTCACGGTTCGTCTGATCTCCCGTCATAAAACCACGATGTTTATTTACCTGGAGCCTCCGACAGCGCCGACTTCCTGTGTACGTGTACACTACTGCCTAGAAGTCCATTCCCCTTACACGCACCCCAACCGCCACTCGTGTGCAACGCGTGACACACTCATTAGAGGGGGAACAAACTTTTGACCAAAGGAGGACCCGTCTTAAGCTGAACCTGGAGGTGGTAACAAGGAGAGAACATTTTGTTATCCTGACGAAAAATGATAATACACATGTATTTGCTAATGTCTCCTTTCTTTATGTGATTTTGTGGGAATAACATGAATACTGTTGTGTTTAAATAGATCTGTCTTGTTTTATACGACCATTGCTTCTAAATCCGATGGTGTTAAGATAATACATGGTCCTGGAACATGTTATTGCAATTAAAATGCTTTTATTGTGATTTGACATTAACCGTCTGTAGTACGACTTTCAGTGATAATATGTATGAGGTTTGGCGGCGCATTGTTTTTATTGGACCCTAATTACTTTATGATGACTTGGACTCTTTATCTCAGCTCCATAGCCGTGAGGCTGGAAAAGAGCAGCATGTAATTAATGAGGGTGGGTTATATCATTGAGGATACACTTGAGGAGAGAATACTAATTACCGTACTACAGGAAGAGACCTGTAGACGTAAGCGCGGGGTTGTGTTTTAGCTGGCCGTTCGATAATGGCCGCCAGGAGAAGTGAGCTTTGACTGCGTCATCTAAAATAAATAGTAAGATACAGCAGTGTTATTTTCACGGGTCTGTTGAATAAACTCCCAGCGCTACGGTCTTCTACTTGATCCTTGATACATCATTTTGGCATTCACAATATATAGTATTTCAACGTACAAAGGAGCACTGATCTAAAGCAATTCCGCGGGAGTAGTTGTTACCTGTGCATCACTGTATTTTCCCAGTGAGTACCCGGATGATATAGCAGAAATCTAGACTTGTTCGCGACCTGTGCTCGCCATTCGTAAGCGCATTTTTATTGATAGTAGAAGGACGTATGGTCACATTGATCAACAAAAATGAAATACAGTTTTGGAAATGTAGGTACATTTGTGGGGAGCATCGGTAATGGTGATGCAGTTTTTGTAAGTCACTTGCTTGGTAATTGTGCGATCTTTGTGTACACTATTTTGACTTGCAACACTAAGTAAATATTTTATCTGAACATTGCTTATTTTACCGTGTGTATATGTTTACATTCAAAATGTAAACATATTTCACTAAGTAAATTTATTAAACGCCTAAATATTCAGTTTATTTTACAAATTAACTGAAAAATATGTCCATCTTTGTTAATATGATAACGAATTCCAAATATTTGTTTATGTTTAATATCATCACCAAGTACAGTTCTGTATTGTTGGGCTTCTTTTCTTAGCATAATTAATATATTGTGATGTGTTTAAGCTCTTTTGATCGTCTTTATCATTTTTAGTCAGTCGGTTAAATAAATGAATGGATTATTCAGTCAATTTGTAAAATGACTGAAATATTTAGATATTTAAAAAATTGCCTGAGTGAATCATATTTTACACATTGACTGTAACATATACACGCTTACAAAAGAAAATACTTGCGAAAACAACGTCTATCGCGCATCGAAAAACTTCCCAACCAAACGGAAAGGAACAAGAATGATTCTGTTCAAAGCTGCAGCGAATGAATGAAAACAAAATGCAAATATAATTATTACAACCTACCAAAGTTATAATGTATCCGGGAATATCAACATAAAGGAACAATATCCATTGCGTCTGCAGCTGTAC